TGAGATCGTAACACCTTTTTTGGCGTTGTAGGTGCTGACATTGTTGATATATCCCTCAATTTTTCCTTGTTTTATAGCTAGCTCGATCATCTCACCAGCCATAACTAGATCTGAGAAACCTCCATATGTAATTGCCACCAGGTGTCCGAAGTAAGGTGTCTTCAGGGTTTGTATAAACAACTTTCTAGTCTCTTTTTCATCCAAGGGTGGATGAACCTGCACAGACAAATCCCTCCATCGCTGTGCATATTGTCGGAAACTCTCGTTGTGCTTCTTTTCCAGGCTTTGCAGCATAACCCGGTCTGGTCTCATATCATTGATATGTTTATATTGTTCTAGGAAAGACTTGGCTAAATCTTTCCATGTCTTGATGTGAGTTTGGCTGAGCTGATTGTACCAACGGATAGATGAACCAGATAGGCTCTCCTGAAAACAGTGGATCAGGAGTTGATCATTCCCTCCATATCCTGTCATCTTCCGACAGAACATAGTGATATGGGCTGATGGGCAGCTGTTCCCATCGAACTTCTCAAACTCAGGAACTTTAAACTTTGGTGGAAGCACCAAATCTGGAACCAGGCTCAACTCTCTTGCGTCCACTCCATAATAATCATGGTCCCCTTGGACCATCTTCATTCGATCTTCTATCATCCTGATTTTCTCTTCCATATTTTTCGCTTTGTCATCTTCATTGAAATCTGGGATATTGTAATCACCCGGATGATTATCAGGATTAGTTTTGGAAGTTTGCACCTTTACAGCAGATGATTCTTTTCCTTTGACAGCAGAAGAATTTTCTTGTGGTCTGGGTAAGATCTCGGGTGACATAATCACCTGTGAGGTTGGTGATATGGTTACCCCTTCGGAGGGACTTCCCCCTACTACACTAGCTTGCTGTAAACATGATAACTTGGCCACTATTTGGTCAACCAAGGATTCCTGGTTTTTCTTGATGGACTCCAGAATACTCTGACTGTTTTGAGTCATCTTATCTTCCAGTTCTTTTTGTAGTCTTGCCATGTTCTCCTCGATTTGAGCGATTCTGGCCTCCATTTGTCTTTTCTTTTTCAAGCGGATGTTATGCGGATGATGTGTGTCCAACGCTTGAGGCGGTGTATCCAGTATTTATTCCTTTATTGAGACATTCTTCCGTTAGTTGATGCAATGCAAAGAAAATAATAAAATGCAGAATATGTCTAAATGCATGATGCATCATGCATGAAATGCTCGAGGCATTGATCCAAAAAATGTGCCTGTTATTATGAATAATCCTTATTGGGGACAAAAGTATTTTATCTTTTAAGAGACAAAAATATCCTGACAGCTCCTGACATGTTGACTAGTCTTCTGCTTTCGTCTTTCACCGGTTGAATAACCTGTCGAACCGCTCCGGCCTCTCTGGATGAAACGTGAAAATGTTGAGTCATTTTTCGTACTGGTCCAAGATGTCTCGAATGATCGCATCTCGAGCATTTACTTTTGTTGAGTATGTTCCCAATGAATTCGTCATTGGAGCCCTTAATTGATAGGAACTATGTGAAGTTCATTAATCTGTTTCTTGAATTCGCCAGTAATGGTCTCCAATTTCAGCTATCATTTTTCCATTGTCGTGTTCAAAGGGACTTCCAAGATACATAACCTTCATCCTACCCCTGCAACCTCTGCCAGTCAGTTCTTCAAAGATAAGCTTTCATTGTGCTTGATGTAGACTCGGTTCATTCTGAGTCCTTTATAATGCAACAGAGTGATATACTCTTCAATTGTGGGCACCATGTCTTCAGGATTGAATGTGACATATAGTCGCCTTGTAGACTATCCTCTGTATTTTCATCTCTTGTATTACAACACCTTTGTCCATGGATTCAGATTATTCGAGTTTTAACAAACACGTTTTAGTGGATCAATGACCTCTTTTGAATGATGCAAGTGATGAAAATAAAATAAAATAAAATAAAGATGAAAAGAGTTAGTGAGGTGAAAAATAATCAAAAACGATCATAAAAATGAAAGTCCTACCCCACATGATATCTACCTCACATGCTTATTATTCCTACCCGAACATGATCTCTATCCCGCAAGTTGATTTTGAACAAGTCTTAACCGCATATTTATCTAGTTCGCATGCTTTGAACAGAAAGTAAAGCATGAAATAATTCTGGCATCCTAAGGTTTGAAATGAGGTTTTGGGGTAGGCTCTAATTCTTCAAAGTCTCCCGGTTTAGGTGCTAAAAAATGGTACCCGAGTTCTCCTTGCTGGTGCCCCCTTGGGCTTGCCAGACCCTTAGTCCTAAACCCATCACAGGCTCATGTGGACTAAGTTAAACTCGAGAGGACACATTCCCTTATGTCTATGCGGAGAATAAATTCACACGAAGACATAAGGTATATGAATCCCGAAGGCTACTTGCTAGGCATATGCGGTGAATAAATTCACACGAATGCGTCGCTTTCACCCCCACTTAAAATGGGTTCGGAGCTCGGGTTTAGAGCCTTAGATGAAAAAAGACTTTAAGGGCTGAAATCATTGAGAAAACGGTTAGTACAACTAATTACTCGAAAATATAATCAAAAGTAAGTAATAAGGATCGAAATGTTACCTTAAAATTTAAACTTACCCTTTTCATTAAAAAGACAACTGGAAATTACCTTAGCTTGACTCACTTACCTGTGTCCCCAGTGGAATCGCCAAGCTGTCGTAACCGTCTTTCGGTTGGGCCACAGAATTAGGCTTCGACTTGAAAAATGTGATTGGAGTCGCCACCGATTATTTATTTAAAAAAAATAGGTTAATCGGATACCTTATATCTTACCTGATCTGCGTCTTACCAAAGATATGTCGGATTCGGGAGTCGGTTACAGTCAAGGAAGGGTTAGCACCCTTGAACTGCCCTTTCGGTACTACGTAATTTCCAGTTGTTTTAAATTAAGAAAATTATAAGTTTAAATTAAAAGGTAAAATTTGACCTTGATTACTTACCTCTGATTGTTTTAAAAAACACCCTTGAAAAGTCAAGAAACACGTTAGATAAAAAAAAGATAAAACACAACAAAAATGAAGATGTACATAATATTAAATAAAAATAATAATAGAAAAATAAGAAATATATATAAAAACATATAGAACAAAATATAATAACAAAAAATATACGTAGTAACTAAATAATAATAATACATCTCTACTTATACATATAAATAATGACATAATATATATATATATATAAGAAAAAATATAATATAATATAAATAATTCGAAACAAAAATAGAGAAATATTGTAAATGAAAAGAAAAGTATACTTAAATATATATATATATATATACTAATATTATATTAATAAAATAAATAAAGGTAAGAAAAGAAAAAAATATATATACATGTGTAATAAACACTAGGAAGACAAAATAAATAAAAAAGATATATATATACATGAGAAAAATAATAATAAAATAATAGTAAACATAAAAAATGTGTATATATAATAACTTGAAAGTAAATAAATATAATAAAAATATACAATAAATAAAATGAGGGAAAAAAGTTGGATTTCAAAAAGTGACTAAATCGAAAGAATCGAAACGTGAAGGTCCAATTTTGAAGAGAAAACATGATTTTGGGGGGCAATTAAATACTTTAAAAAACAGAGGGGACCAAGAGTGAGATTACCCCTTTTTCACACCCATTCCGAAAATCAAAGTATTTTCTCAAGAAAGAAGCCTCTGGGGCTAGATCTATAAAAATAGATCCCGAAAAATGCCCCTGTTCATCGGCAAAAAAAAAAAAGAAAAGAAAAATCGTTTTCTTTGGTGTTTTTCGAATACAAAATGTAACAAGAACACATGCAAGCATAAACTCGAAAAAGATACTATATTTACCTTGTATTTCTCTTCGAAAATTGCAAGAAAAAAAAACTCTAATTTCACTCTAAGATTGCTCGTAATTTCTGCTTGTATTTCGTATCACAATCCGTGTCTTACAAATGGGGAGGATTACATGTATTTATAGTGAAAAAAAACCTAACTATTCTTAGAATCCTATCAACAATAGAATCCTAATGTAACTAGACTCATTGCCCGGTTGTTGCACGTTTGTTGGTGTAGTTGTTGATTTAAAAGATATGGTGGTGGAAGAGTTCCCTTAGGAGAGAAACTCTTGCTAGTTATATCTTTTAAGAAAATAGGTGTCTACAGCTAGAAAGTTTGAACTTCATCAGCCGACGGATCCGACAATTGACGATTGTAGACGCGACGAGTGTTTTTTAACGGCGGAAACTAAAATGAAACAAAAACTAAATGTTAGGTATTATTTTGAAAAAAATAAAAGTTTAGGTACTAAAACAGCCAAATTAATAGAATTTTATCTAATTTAAAAAATAATTTAACTGTTTTGAATTATCTGAAGTGATTAAATATGATATTTAAATTTATATTTTACCCAATTTAAGAGATTGAGACGGTGATAAGGGCGATTATTGAGACGATGATAGGGGCGTTTGTTGCCCGTTGGGTGAGAATAAAAATTTAAAATTATGTATTTTATAAGTTTTGTTTTTTCTTTTAGAATTTTAGAGAACTCAGTTTTTTTTTTAACAAGTTTGAATTTTTATTTAGATAAAATTTTCAAAAAGTCGTGTCATGTACCATGTTTCGAGTTTTTAATTGTTTTAATAATCATGACAGGCAAAACATCTAAAATGATTACATAAAAATTATTAGGCACCAATCTTAACAAAAAAAAAACCTTTAGGCACCAAAAGTGACCAGAAAGTATAGTTTAAGCAATTATTTTTTAATTAAGCCTTCCAAATGTATGAAAATTAAAACTTCCAAAATATTGAGCATGCAACAAATACATTCTCTCTCATATCCAACTAGGCAAAATAGATTTCAGCAATTTGGAAGCCACTAATGTTTTGAAATATGAAATCGAAACCTTTTAAAGCTTCACACTGAATTTAGAAAGAAAAATCCACAACAACAAACTGATGGCAAGTTATATTTCTTTGAGCAGCAGCAAAAGCAACCACCGATAGCAACTTGCCTAGACAATCCGCTCCAACTCCCTAGCATAACTAAGAGTTTGGTTGATCAGTTGTAAGGATGGGATCTCCTTACATGGTGTCGATTCTTTCGCCTTCTGAAAGAAGACGAATCCATTCTTCACCTCCTACTCAGGATGCTCCTGCAATCATTGGGTACAAGTCGAAACAATCTTTGTTTTCCAAAGCCTTTGAAAAAAAATTCACATTTTATAGATATTATGGATGTTACTTGAACGCTTACCTCTTTACAATACTCAAAGAGTTCTTGATCAGAGGAGAAAAGCAACATTTGGCGGGCATCATTAATTGCAAGATAGTTGTATGCCTTCTCACTGCATCCAGCTATTTCATCTCTGAAAATGACAAGTTATGAATAAACTAATGACATTTGAGCAATAAACAAGAATACAATATAGAGCAGATAATTAAAACAAGGAAGCACCGGCAAAACAAAACTTTCTGATGGTGAAAGCATGTGGAATGATAAGAACTAATGTTATGAAGTCATTTAATGAGCTTTTGAATTAAAATAGTTGCAAATAGATCCGTGATTTAAAAGAAAGTTTGCCATGTTTTAATATTGTTCTCCTCCAAATTATCATCATAGACGAAAGTTTATTGCTTACCTCACTGTTTTTGCCAAGAGATCCGTGAAGTAAACATAAGTTTCATGAGGAGCAGTCTGTCTAGCACCCAAAACACGATTGTAAGCCCCTTCCATAAAAGATTGCTCCAGCTCCACAGCATGCTTGATGCAAGGATTCTCCAAAGCAGTGGCTGAAAGCAATTCCAGTTCTGTATGGAACTCAGCAATTCTGTTCTGGACAAGAAGTCTCAAGAGATTAAGACCTAGGATCAGGTACTCTTGCTGAGACAGTGGAAGACGGCTACTGCTCCATCAAGAGAAAAGTAAAACACTAATAATTATTTTCCAAAAATTAATGACAAGCTTCTACATAAGAAAATAGTACAAATAGTGCACAGAGTGGGGATTTCCTTATATTAAGCCAAGAGTTAAAACAAATTCAATACCAACATGCTCATACAATACATGATACAAAATCAATATTAGTTTCTTTATGCGTGAGTGTGTGTGCATATACACCTTGTAACTTGATTTTCTAATTAGATGAACTGCTATCCAAATTTTACTATCGGTTATGCAGAGCATTATAGAATGCAACTCTGCCTAGAAAGGAAAATATTCATACAAGACAGCAGCAATGCTAAAGTGACATAATTCCCAAACAACAGAGCGAAACCCTTAAGCAAAACCCTGAAAAACAAGCAACTGACCCAACATCTGTATAATAGGGCTTCAACTGGAAAAAGTCCCTCTCAAAGGCATCTTGATCCTCAATCTTAACACTGAGGACAACAGCATGTTCATAAATTTCTCCTGAAATTGTCAGTGAAAGGAAAAGGATAATTATGTAACCGATGATTGGTAATCTTCAGTGAAGCAGACTCAAATTCTGTTCTATATTCAAATTTATTTTAAAAAAATTATCTAGAACCTTCACATTCAAATTTTAATTGTTGGTGTAACTCTTCATTTTTTTCTCTTGAAAAGCACCTAAAGCATGTCCAGAAGTGGGCAGGACATAGGAGGATATGACCCCCCAATAACTCTCTAAATACATGAAAGAAACTCGGAAAATATCAAACATTCCCGCATCAAACACAAATTTGTATTCAACACTAAATCATCAATCCAGGTAACATATATTTAACTGCATCCATGATCCATGCACAATTCTGTATGTTCCTAATCATATTTTAGTCAAGATTCCACAGAAGTCCTCAATACTCAGGAAGCAGAAACAATTTCCATCGAGTCGTTACAAGATGAAGGTTCATCGACTAAGTTACAATAGGCGTAGTGTTGGGGTCTTTTCCATATGGCATCCTTCAAATCATGTGAAAGCTAGTGTTCGATGGACCAACATAGAAATGCAATTAGAAATGACAAGAAAAAAAAGAGTGCTAACAGCAATTCATTAACCGCATTAGGTGTATTTTCAAACAGCGGAGGAAGGCTCACGAACTTTGTGAGCAACACATGCAATAACAAACCAAATTACTTGAGCAGCATTTCAATATAGAACTAATTAAAACAAGATTATTCGTTTTCCCATTTCTCTCGTTCTAGCCCATCAATTTCAATTCAAATTCCAAGATCAAAGACGGACAATTCATAAACGAAACATCTAATACAAAACCCCTACAATCCTAAACCCTAAAAGATCAACCCTCCAAAGAAACTAACAATCTACGACATGGAATCTATTACTTCAAGAGTAAAGAAACACAGAAACCCTAGAATTTGTACCCGAAGAGAGAAAATAGGGGAATTAGGGTTTGAAAAAACCTTGAGTTGAGAAAGGAAATTGGTGCAGGTATCGAAATCTTTTCTAACAAATGCAGCTTTGAATCGCTCGAACAGCTGCGAAACTTCTGTTAGCTGTGGATCCATTTCTCTTCCTCTCGCTAGCTTTCGTGTTGCCGAATCAATGAAAAAAATCCCTCTCTTTTCTTTATGTTTTCACTTCCAAAAAACACCCAACAACAAAACAATAAATATATATATATAAGGGAAAATGAAGATCCTTTTTTCTTTATTTTCTGGGTTTACATGCAGGATTTGGCCAACCGTATTGGGTTGGGCCGTAAATAAATTATTGAATTTGATATCACAAATAAATGCCTTAATCATTTTTGAGTACCTAAATTAATTTTTGATCATTTAATAAAAAAGCGACAAAAATAGGGTAAATAATTATTTACATAATAGTTAAAGATAAATTACATAATAATAACTGAATTTTATTCTGATGAGTGTTCAGAATCGGTTGTATTTACCCGTTAATTCTTCGATCTTATAGATTTATTGATGTTGATTTGGCTTTGTTATGCTTGTTTTCGTGTAGTATCTTACTTTCCAGACTTAGTGGTAAAACGGGTGCATTCTGCATTTTTTTATTATTTGGTCACGGATGGAGACATGGGCACGACTCTAGGCATGACACGGTCTGACGTGGCAATTTCTAGAAGGTCCAGTCAGCGACAGTTTTCTAGAAGATCTAGTCAGTGCGCCTTCTAGAAGATGGACGGGCAGAGTTGCATTAGGAGACTTATTTTATGTTTGAATTAGAAAAATAATTATCTTTAGGATTATTTTTATTTTAATTTCTTTGTTTATTTATATGTTTTTAGAGGCTATAAATACCCTCTTGGGGTAAGCCTAAATTCACAACTTAGATTACAATCTTCTTTTCCTTTCTAGTTTTATAAAAATTCTATCTTTTATTTTGTTTTTCAAGTCTTCGGTTTTTACTTTATTTTTAAATATGTTAAACATGACTTTTGTCATGCTTATCTAATTTTCTCATAAGCCGAAAGTTGAAACGATGACTCAATTCCAACGGGAGAATTGAAAAAGGCCCTTAATAACTTTAGAATATCTCTCACAATCTATGCGATTATTTTTCAAAATCAAAACAGTTTTCAAAATCAAAGATTGACATTGGTCAAGAGGTTGTTGCGATTAAACGTGTGGGAGGAAGGATCAGCTTATTGAAAGCATATTCGACTTCATGGTAGCACACTTGGCGAGATAGCATTGCCAAGAGGGAATTGAGATAAGAATTGGTAGTTATTGAAGCAACAATCCGAGTTGGTTGTCACGAACTTAAATGGTAATTGATCTACGACAATTGATGTTGATTAGATCAATTTCTGAAGCCGTAATCGAAGATTGCCTTGGGTATTCGGTATACAAAATGGAGTCACAAAGATTTCCCTTGTAGACAAAGTAACCAACGTGAATCCCGAAGGGAAAATCTAATTCGATGATCTGAAGGAAATTGAGCCAGGGCGAGGCTTGAGGATGTTTTTACCGTATTCATTTTCAACTTTACATTCCTTATTTTCTTATCTCTACTTTAAATTACCTTTTATTTAATATCTTTTCATTATTTAATATATTTTTACCAAAACCTCCTATTTACAATATCACGCCTCATATAAACAATTCAGACAGAAATTTATAATTTTCTAAGTCCTTGTGGAATCGGCCTTTATTTCTCTTTACTACGTATTTCCTTATTTATTAATTGAGAAGAAGAAATTTATTTTGACATCAAAATGACAGTTATCAAATTGGTGACGTTGCCGGGCACTTCGCCAAAGTTACTAATTTTTGTTTGCTTTTGATTTATGACCAGGACTAATCTGTGTGCATTAGTGGAGTACGACCCAGAAATCGAAGCCAGAACTAGGAGACTTCACGCAAAAACACTTCGGGAAAGAAGGAGACAACAATCAAATTCAGGTGACTCCGTTAATACAGAACCAATTTTGATGGTTGATCCTACTATTTGAGAGTTAGTCGCAGCACCTATTGAACAAGAGCCTTTGTTCTTTGATTTTCCCCAAGGTGAAACTCCATACCAGTTAAAAACTGGCCTTATTCATCTCCTCCCTACATTCCGTGGATTGCCAAACGAGAATCCACATAAACATCTCACGGAATTACACATGGTCTGCTCCAACATGAGACCACAAGGAGTAATTGAGGATAAAATCAAACTTAGAGCTTTTCTTTTTTTTCTTAGCCGATTCGACTAAGGAGTGGTTATTTTATCTACCCCTAATTCTATTACTACATGGACTCAAATGACTTGTTTTTTTCTTGAAAGGTTTTTCCCTGCGGTGAAAGTAATTGAATTACGAAGGAGAATACTTTAAATCAAGCAGCTTGATGGAGAGTCACTCTATGACTACTGGGAGAGGTTTAAAAAGTTATGTGCTAGTTGCTCACAGCATGAGTTAACTGAACAAACACTCCTTCAATACTTATATGAAGGATTAACTTCCCTGGAAATGAAGATGATCGATGTTGCCAGCGGCAGAGCCTTGGTGAACGTGACTCCTACTGAGGCTAGGGATTTAATCTCCACAATGGTCGCAAATTCCCAATAGTTCCGCACAACTAATGAACCTTCTCGAAAGGTTCATGAGATAAGTTTATATTCTTTGGATAATATGATATATAAATTAACTAAAGTAGTCAACTCTCTTGTTCCAGGAAAGATATGACCAAACTAATTGTGTGGAATATGTGCATTACCTAATCACCCAAAAGACGGCTGTCCACTGATCCACACATCAGCTCAAGTCAATGCAGTAAGAAACTTTCCAGGACCTTTCCAAAGAGTTTATAACCCCTACGGTAATTCTTACAACCCAGGATGGATGGATCATCCGAATTTCAGTTATGCTTAAAACTCAAGGCCGAATCAAGGTTATCAAGCGAGACCACCTCCACCGCCACAACAGTCGTAGAAGACATCATTAGAATCAATTATCGAGAGTTTAGCATTTTTCCAGGAAAAGTTCCAGATTTGTACTGAAGCTCATTTCCAAGATATGGACAAGCAGATAAGACAACTTGCTCAAACCGTAGGCTGCTTGGATTCACAAGGTAAATTTCCATTCGAAACCGAGGTAAACCCAAGAGAGAATGTCAATGCTATCACTCTTCGGAGTGGTACAGTAGTGGTGCCACCTATTTCAGCAGATGAAGTAATCTAAAAAGAGAAGAAGACTATTGATTTAGGATCCCAGAAGAAGAGTGACGAAGAACAAATGGATCCAACGCCATCTCCCTGTGAAGTGCCACCACCTTTTCCATCGAGATTAGTGAAAAGGGATAAACAAGCTGAGGAAAAGGAAATACTAGACGTATTTCAGAAGGTGGAAATCAACATACCTCTCATTGAGATTATCCAAAAGGTTCCAAGATATGCCCAATTTCTAAAGGATCCTTGTACGACAAAGATTAAGCTTATTGGGGTTGAGAAAGTTAATTTAGGAGAACATGTCTCATCTTTCTTCCAATGAAAGTTACCACCGAAGCTGAAAGACCAAGGTATTTTCGTAATACCCTATAAAATTGGTAAAGTTGGGATAAAGCAAGCCATGTATGATCTTGGCACCTCTATTAATGTAATGCCTCTGTCTGTTTACAAAATGATTACTAATGAGCATTTGAAGGATACAAAGATCTCAATTCAGCTTGCCGACAGATCAGTGATCTATCCGGAAGGACTCTTAGAGAGTGTATTAGTGGAGGTAAATGACTTAATATTTCCCGCTGATTTTTATATAATTGACATGGAGAATGACCGTACAAGCACATCCTTTGATATCCTGTTGGGGCATCCTTTCCTAAGTACTGCACACACGAATATTGACGTAATAAGCGGAATTTTAACCATCGAATTTGATGGTGATATCGTTAAGTTTGACGTGTATAGGGCAATAAGATATCCCAATAAAGTGTAAAGTATAAATTATGTTGATATAATTGATCCTTTGGCTAACGAATTTTTAAAATTTTCCTTTGATTTATGTAGGGAGCAAGAAGATCATGATGAGAACATATATTCTGATTATGCCGAATTAAATTTAATTTCCTCTAAGTATAAAGTTCCGCCCTTTGTTTTGCAGGCACATGAAGTTGAACTGAAACCGTTACTAGATCATTTAAAATACACCTTTCTCGAGGTGAATAACACCTTGCCAGTAATCATATCGAAATGATTGTCCGAGGAGGAAGAAAAAGATTTAATAACAGTTTTATGCACACAAAAGGAAGCTATAGGATGGACTATCACTGACATAAAAGGGTTAAGTCAATCTACATGTATGCACAAAATTAAAACCGAATAAGGCACAAAACCGATACATGAAGGTCAAGGCCAACTAAATCCACCAATGATGGAGGTGGTAAAAAATGAGTTACAAAAACTCCTTGATGGAGATATTATATATCCAATTTCGGATAGTAAATGGGTAAGTTTGATACATGTAGTTCTTAAGAAAACATGAGTTACTGTGATCGAAAATTTTGAGGGAGAATTTGTACCAACACGAGTTCAGAATGGATGAAGAGTCTGCATCGATTACAGGAAGTTGAATTCATTAACCCGAAAAAGACGATTTTCCTCTTCCATTCATAGATGAAATGATAGAAAGATTAGCCGATAAAACTCACTATTGTTGTCTTGATGGATTTTCAGGTTTCTTCCAAATTCTAGTAGCACCTGAAGATCAAGACAAGACGACATTCACATGCCCCTTCGGTACTTTCGTTTACCGACGGATGCCTTTTGGACTTTACAATGCACCTGCCATATTCCTATGGTGTATGATTAGTATTTTTTCTGATTATTTGAGAAAGGTATCGAAGTCTTCATGGATATGATTAATATTTTTTTGATTATTTGAGAAAGGTATTGAAGTCTTCATGGATGACTTTACTGTTTATGGTATTTCATTTAATGAATGTTTATTAAACTTGACAAATGTGTTGTGTCGGTGCCTAGAATTTAACCTTGTTTTGAATTATGAAAAGTGTCATTTTATGGTTGATAAATGTTTAATTCTAGGCCATATTGTTTATTCTAAAGGAATTGCGATAGACAAGGTAAAAACCGATATAATACATTCACTTCCTTACCCCACTAAGATGAGGGAAGTTCGTTCTTTCCTTGGTCATGCATGTTTTTACCGCAGATTCATTAAGGATTTTTCCAAGGTGGCACAACCATTATGCGAGTTGTTACAAAAGGAAAAAACCTTCAAATTTGACTAACAATGCAAAGAATCATTTGACGTTTTAAAGAAAAAGTTGGTTTTGACACCCATAGTCCAACCGCCAAATTGGGATTTTCCCTTCAAAGTCATGTGTGATGCTTTAGATGGAAGTGTTGGAGCCATGCTCAGACAAAGGATCGGGAAAGAGCCTCACGATATCGCCTATGCGTCACGTACCTTAGATTTTGCACAACAGAATTATTCAATAACCGAAAAATAATTATTTGTTATCATTTTTGCATTACATAAGTTTAGATTATATCTTCTTGGCACTAAAGTTGTTGTTTTCTCTGATCATGCAGCCTTAAGTACTTGCTTAGCAAAAAAGAGGCGAAACCACGACTAATCCGTTGGATCTTACTCCTCCAAAAATTTGATTTGGAAGTCAAGGATAAGAAAATATGTGAGAATTTGGTGGTCGATCACTTAAGCTGGCTTTCACTCAGTATAGTTGATCCTCCCGTTCGTGAGGAATTCCCGGAAGAAAGCTTGATGATGGCGCAAAAGTCAATGTCTTGGTTCACAGATATAGTTAATTACTTAGCCACAGGTAAATTACCATCTAATATGGTGAGAACCGAAGTAAATCGTATTAAAAGAGAATCTCGTTTTTTCATTTGGGATGATCCATATCTTTGGAAGCATTGTTTAGACTAGGTAATTCGACGATGTGTTGTTGAAAGTGAGGAAAACTCAATTTTAAGTTTTTGTCATTCTTATTCGTATAGTGGACATTTCGAACCAAAGTGGACTGCTCATAAGATTTTGGAATGTGGTTTCTTTTTGTCTTATATTTTTCGTGATGCTTACTTATTTTGCAAATCTTGTGATAATTGCCAACGTGTAGGTAATTTGACTCGAAGAAATGAAATGCCTCTTAATCCTATTCATATATACGAAATATTTGATGTTTGGGGGCTCGACTATATGGGTCATTTTGTCTCTTCTTTTGGCAATTGTTATATAATTATTGCGTTTACTGTGTTTTAAAGTAGGTAGAAGCTAAAGCCACTTGAAACAATGATGCCAAAACTACTATTCAATTACAAAAAATATATATTTTCCAGGTTTGGCACACCTAGAGTTATAATAAGCGACCGCATCACACACTTCAGTAATCGAGTAATTGATGTACTCATGAAAAAACATGGAGTAAGTCACAAAATTGCCACGGCTTATCATCCGCAAACGAACAAACAAGCAGAAATTTCAAACCATGAAGTAAAGACGATTCTTGAGAAAATAGTCAAGCCAAATCGCAAAGATTGGAGCTTAAAATTGATTGATACCTTATGGGCTTATCGAACTGCATATAAAGGTAAGCAATGTAATATGGAATTGGAAGCGGTTGGCGAAACACGAAAGTTACATATACAAGAACTTAAGGAAATCTGGAGAGATGCTTACAACAATGTCGGGATATATAAAGATAAAACAAAAGAATTCCATGATCCAAAAATTACTTTTAAATCTTTTTCTATTGGACAAAAAGTTCTTCTTTTTAATTCAAAGTTAAAACTTTTTGCAGGTAAACTTCGATCGAAATGGAGTGGACCTTATACGGTAACTGAAATTTTTTCGCATGACGCAATCAAACTTGAAGATGATTCGGGTACTCGATTTAAAGTCAATAGATTTAATTTTGATTATTATTTTGCAGGAATCGAATGTTTTTAATCAAAATTAGACAATAGAGATTTAATAGTGCCAATTTCGGACCCTAGGAGTAACGTGAATAATGCACAGCAGTTGAACAAAGCAAGAAAAACCGTGCGCACCGTTTAATTAAATGACGCACGTTAGCGTTCCCCTTAGAGGAGATTGACACACGTTAGAAAAACCCAAATTGTTTCATCCCCTTTTTTGTTAACATTCTACTGCCGCCACTTCCCAATCATCTTTTCTCTTTCTTTTCCCTTTGATCGTAGACCCTACCATCCCTATCTCTATCACATCACCTTTTAATTTTATTCTCCCTTTATTATAATCAAAACCAAATTTCATTCAAACTCAAACACCCCCCACACACGGTAGAAATAAAACCAAACCTCTTTTCCTCTTCTTCCAAACAATTACTTCCTCCTCAAAAACGATTCCACTCCCTAAACCCGATTACTTCCTCTCCTTACCGTTGCCGACCTTACCGAACCACTACGCCCTTGGTAATGTGCTTCATCTCGCCCACTCCACGATGGTGTGCACAAGAAACCAATCAGGTGACGCCACCGCTCATCTGTCGGCCGTCATTGGTAGGCGTCGTCACCTCAATGCACCGACGTTTGTTGCCACACCAAGTGACTCCGATTCTATTCCATCGCCACCCCCAGTTCGCCCGACACAAGGCCGTGGCCACGCACCAACCACTCTGTCTTCACCGTTTGATTCGACATTTACGCCGACTACCTCTCACCATCCTCTTATCCAAAACTGATGGGCTTCCCATCATTTTCAATGCATTCGGCGGCTTCAGAAGATACTCCAGAGGTAAACTCTATTCTTGTTTCAGTTCAATCTTTGCTAATGTACCATTCTATTTATGGTTTTACAGAGGATTTCAATGTCAATTTTCCACCTCGGACTCCTCTCCTATAACATCAAGCTCTCGAAAACAACCCAGGAAGCATGCTTCACTGGCCCATTCCTCTAGCCCGGGTGATGTACCTACTTCTGAAAGTCTATCGCTTGCCCACGAGAATCCTGAACACAACCGACGGGGTCGGTGGTATACTGTCCCTACCAAAGAAACTCTACATAGTTACTTATAATTCTCGGATGAGGAATTAGTACATTTTGAGTCGGTAAGGAATCGTTTGTTTCGTGTAGGTAAATATATTACGACTCGAACTTTAGAAACCTTGTATTTATGAGAATCTATCCATACTTATTTTGCTAACATTGGTTGGACTTTATATCATATGATTTATTGTGGCACGTTTTATGAACTTGTCTTTGAATTTTACGCCAGTTTTAATTTTTCACTGAATCATCTTATTAATGTCAGTTCTTCCGATATCGTTACATTTCGATTATATGGACACTAATTTTCAATGTCTATTTTTGAATTTAATTTTACTATGTGATTAGTGATGGATGTTACAAATCCTACGTATCTGATTGCTTTGCTTGAGATTCCATAGGACTTCCATATCGATAAAGCCTACGAGACACTTACCGGCTTGGCTGGCCAAATGTTCAACGTTCACTCGACTCGAGCTCATCTTATCCACGACTCAACCTTGCGTTACATACATCGTTTCCTTACCTACAATTATTTCGGCTGGAATGACTCGTCTTCCTCTTTGAGCCGAGTTGAACTTTTCTTTTTATGGTGCATGTTAGTCGGCCAGCTAGTGAACTTGGGATTTTGGTTTGCTCAGGCCTTTGAGATCGTTATTCGATCCAATCTCCCACTTATACTTGGCTCTTACATTACTCATTTAGCCTCTCGTATCGCTAATTTTGATGTTACAAGGTTTACTTATGTTTTTTTTCTACAGATGCTTTGGATAAGCGATGCTTGGATTGGATGGGCTTACATGTTGGAACCCCAAGCGCGCCATACTTTATTCCACCTGATGTCCTCACTCCACGCAGCGAGTAAGTTTTTGTTCACCGTAATGCACCATAACTGCCACCTATAACACCTCACCCGGATATGAAAACGCAAATAGATGAAGTCCACAACCATCTCCACACCATTGAGATGAACATTATCAAAATTCTTTCATACCCGCGTCCCAATGCCTCTCACCGTGGCTGAGGTCGTGGTCAACATTAAATCCGGCGAGTACTCTATTCCTTCTCTTGTACTTTAATTTTACGTTTTGAGGCAAAACACTTTAAGTGAGGGGGAATAGAGTGTAGATTGAATTTCTCTTTGCTTATCTTTATGTTTTGATGCTAGTATGTATTTATTGGATTTATGTAAATTTTGTTGAATTTCTTTGTCTTGATTGAATGTTTTTGGAATGTTTGTTTGAGAACACATGATTGTTTAGGTTAGGATGTTCTTGATAGTGGATAACATGAATTGTGATCAAGTCAGTATTTTTGTGATATTCCATGATTTTATAGGTTGAAATGTGCGTAGCTCAATGCATGAAAACAATTTGGTGAGATTTGAGCCTTTACGAGCATATAATTTTGCTATCATTTTGTTGGATTGAGTGTGTCAAATTTGGCATTGGTATTCTAGAACCTACATTTTAAATACTGTCGAGATTACACATGAACATGATGCTTAAAAATGATTTGGGCACTTTAGGATTAACCATTCCGTTTTCCCCACTAAATTTCCCTACCCATGCATTTTCCCCTAGTTAACTTTTTTTGAGCCTATTCCCACTTCTTTGTTTTCACCACATTTATAAACTTGAGCCTTTTTATTTTATCCCTTTTTTATACTTTTTTCAGGGCAAGTGAACAGTTAAATTGATGCATGCTCCATAAAAAATAAAAAAGTCAACAACAACAACAGTTCGAAAAAAAGAAAATACATGAAAAAATGGAAGAAAAAACAACAAAAAAGAGAAAAAAATCAAATGCAATTCGAAAAGAAATTTTTTGTTTGATAGTTTGTCTTTTTATCTTGTTGTGCTTAATGTTTTAATACAGTTGAATTTTTTATTTGTTAGTTCCTTGCCTTGAATTTTTAGCCACATTATTTATCCTTTTCCCCACCTTTACCTAGGCCTCGTTACAACCAATAAAATACCCATTGATTTATGCATCTTGTTCTTATTAGTAGTTGAGATTTGATTTACTTGCAAGCCTATGGTAATATCATGTCGGTTCTGACATTGAACGTTTCTATACCCCAAACACATTGAGTGATTTGAGTGAATCCCGATAAGGTGTTAAGTTATGGGCATTGAAATTGATGAATGAATAGATGTTACAATTTTATTTTGCTTGTTCCAATTGGTGGCGTTCAATTTAATTTATGTCTTGACTTGAATAATTATTGTGGTATCTATCTTGCTTCCTTGAATGTGAAACTTGACAAAGAAAGGTAAATGAAATTTTTGACTAATTTGATTATGTCATACTTGAGGACAAGCATGAGATAAGTGAGGGGGAATTTGATGAGTGTTCAGAATTGGTAGTTTTCGCTCATTAAGTCTTCGATCTTATGGATTTATTGCTGCTGATTTGGCTTTGTTATGCTTGTTTTCGTGTAGGATCTTACTTTCCAGACTTATTGGTAAAATGGGCGCATTTTGCATTTTTTTATTATTTGGTCACAGATGGAGACATGGGCATGACTCTGGGCATGACACGGTCTGACGTGACGTTTCTAGAAGGTCCAGTCAGTGGCAGCTTTCTAGAAGATATAGTCAGCGCGCCTTGTGGAAGATGGACGGGTAGAGTTGCATTATGAGACTTATTTTAAGTTTGAATTAGAAAACAATTACTTTTAGGATTATTTTTATTTTAATTTCTTTGTTTAACTCTATGTTTTTATAGGCTATAAATACCCTCTTGAGGAAATCTTAAATTCACAACTCAGATTACAATATTCTTTTCCTTTATAGTTTTATAAAAATTCTCTATTTTATTTTGTTTTTCAAGTTTTCGATTTTTACTGAATTTTTATGCTTTGTTTTTAAATATGCTAAGTATGACTTTTGTCATGCTTAGCTAATTTTCTCATAAGCCGAGAGCTGAAGTAATGACTCAATTCCAACGGGAGAATTGAAAAAGGTCCTTAATAACTTCGGAATATCTCTCTCATTCTCTGTGCTTATTTTTCAAAATCAAAATAATTTTCAAAATAAAAAATTGACTTTGATAAAGAGGTTGTTGTAATTAAATGTGTGGGAGGAAGGATCAGCTTATTAAAAGTACATTTGACTTCCTAGGAACACACTTGGCGAGATAGCCTTGCCAAGAGGGAATTGAGATCATAATTGGTAGTTATTGAAGTAACAATCTTAGTCGGTCATCACAAACTTAAACGGTAATTGATCTACAACAATTGATGTTGATCAGATCATTTTCCAAAGCTGAAATTGAAGATTGCCTTAGGTATTTCGGTATACAAAATGGAGTCACGAGGATTGCCCTTGTAGACAACGTAACACACATGAATCCGGAAGGGAAAATCTAATTCGATGATCTGAAGGAAATTGAGTCAAAGCGAGGCTTGAGGTTGTTTTTACCGTATTCATTTTCAACTTTACATTCCTTAATTTCTTATCTTTACTTAAAAGTACCTTTTATTTAATCTCTTTTCATTATTTAATATCTTTTTACCAAAACCCCCTATTTACTATACCACGCATGTTATAAACAATTCAGACAGAAATTTAGAATTTTCAAAGTCCCTGTGGAATCGACCCTTACTTATCTTTACTACATATTTCCTTATTTATTAATTGAGAAGAAGGAATTTATTTTGACATAAAAATGACAGTTTTCATGTTCACTCTCCTATTTTAGTCATTTTACTCTAAAAATTTCATGACATTATTAAAATAATAACCTAAAATTTATTTTTTTTGGAAAAATACCCCCATGTCACATCATGAAATTAATAGATTAATATTGATAATTTAATTATTCTTTCAAAGGACTAAATTGGGAGAATTTGAGAGCTAAGGATCTACTTCGTAAGTTCCCAATCGAATTAGGGACCTGAATTTGAATTTAGCCATCAAGTATTACCTCAAAATGTTGAAATAATTTAAAACAAAATTTTTGTGGTTCAAAAGGTTTGAACCCATGTTTCTAAAAATTTCAGCCTAAGCCTTAGACATTTAGGCTGGGCTACTACTGATGATGTGAGATAATAAAGACATCGGTGACCTTTCGTGACCAAAACCCCTATAGAATCTTACTATGAAACATTGTTTGTTGCTGTGGAACACAGTTTGGAGATTATATGATAACCCTAGCTTCCGCCACTAATTTTATTCGATTTTCACCAATTTTAACATCGTTTTAACTCACCATCACCACCAAAAGGAGCGTCATCCACGCCGAGCAAAACCTGACCCATCTCAAACTAGTTGGCCCTGTCTGCCATTCGTTGTGGACAATGACTTGAAGATTCATCAGAAAAAACCCTCAATCATCATAGATTTTTATGATTTTCGGTTGATTCTATCATCGGTTTGCCTCACCACAAACGTCATCTGGTTCCGCACTCAGTTCTAAGCAAAACATAGGTGAATGGTCCTCTCACCATCGCAATCTCCGCCGTCCGTCGTGAAGGGTGAGTTTCATTCATTTTTCATCAACCCTGTAATTATTGGTTGGTTTTTGATTTGATTTGGGTTGTTATTAGTGAGTGTTATCTATGGGAGTAATCGGTCGCCTTCCACAGTCCACATTGTTGCCACACACGTCGTCACGTAGCACCACTTCTCGAGGGCTTCGTTCCCAATCAAGATTTTTCTATAATTGAATCAACTTAGACCAAGTCAATGGAGTCAACTCAGACCAAACTAAGTTAACTCGTTAACTGTTGGCCAGACCCGTTGACCTAATTGTTGATCGTTGACCATTGACTTTGACCAATATGTGAACTTTTCTCAAAAAGTCATATTTTATGTTTTTCGACGTCCTGAATATGAGGTATATTTCACCAAATTCTTACTAGAAAGCCTCTAAATTGACCCTTGAACCCAAACTTGCATAGTTATTTTAATTAAACTAGTTAGTGATAAATAAAGAAAGGACGAGGACTAATTTATGACTTTGGTTATGATAGGTACCCTTGTTTCTCCAGATCGTGTGACTACTCGACCCAAGTCCTCTTTATTATTTCGGCCGTATGAGCTGTGATTACTCAAATATTTCTATAACTCTGTTAAATATTCTGTTCAGTATATTACTCTGATAGTAACCCTATTCTGATCTAATTAAGGATCATGTACTGATTTTGATAGTAGTGAGACCACTGCTCAGTAGATCTCTCAGACAGACCCATTTTGTGAGGTGTGTTTCTTGTGTGCTATATTTATCTATTTTAAATATATATCTGAACTACCAAGTGCACATGATTATTTTAACCGATTTTGAATGCATGATTTTGTTGACTGATTTTCTTGGTTTTCTTGAGTTTTGTTTTACTGATATGAAATTTCTGATTGTCTAGTACATATTCTTAGAATTATTGTTACAATAAAATGTCTGATTTATGATCTCTTGATTATACTGGTGCTATCTGAAACTGTTTTACTGGGGTATTTTGGGATGTGTTCTGGAAGCTTTGCAGGTTTAGCTCTGATCAAGTTGGTAATTCCTTATGGACCAAAGGCGACTCTTGGTTGGCTCCTAGGCCTAATGGGCTTAGTGGTAAGACATTGTGGACCAAATGGCATTCCCATAGGGTGACTTATTTGCTTTGTGAATTGGATAAGTCCTTATGGATCTGAGGGTACTCCCATAAGGTGGCACATATTCTTCGGCTAGGGTAAGTCCTTATGGACCCAAGGTGCTCCCTTAGGTTGGATCTTAGATCCAACGGGCCTTGGGTAAGTCCTTATGGATGAAGTTCTGGGGAATTGCATTTATATAGCTTGAGAGTAACTCTATGTTATAAATAAAAACTATGTTATCATTTTTACTCTATGATTTCTGAAATCAAATTTGAAA